AAAAAAAAAAACAAAAGCCGGCCAAAGTTACCTAGCTAACTAAAAAGTAGACCTTATCGGGTCAGAGTTGCTCATACCCTTTCTCTTTTTCTGTGATAACAGCTGTTATTTTGACAGTTGTATTTTGTAAGGTTATATTTCCATTAACATATTTGTGTGAAATTGTTAACTTTTAAGAGAAGAGATTCGTGGTAATTTTCTTTCAAAAATATATTTCTGCACTTATATTAAAAAAAGAAAAGAAGAAAAAAATTTGAATCTTATTTCATCTAAAAACTTTGTGATATATTTGAAGCGCAATAATCTCGGCAAATTGTACTTTTGCAGATCTTCTCTCTCAACTGTGACCGCGAATTACATAATTGCAAGAATTGAACGGAAATGTCTCAGGCCCCAGTAAAAGTCTCACCACTTATCAAATTCGGCAGATGGTCTTTTTTGGTATTAGGCGTAGCCTATGGTGCTTTCAATCAAAGTCGCTTGTCGAAGAAGGAAGCGAAAATACGCGAGATTGAAACTCAACAAAAGATTATTCGTGATGCTAAATTAGCCGAGGAAAAGAAACGCAATGCTGAGGCAGAAATTCGAGCATTGGAAGCCTTGGCTGGCATTAAGAAATAGATATTTTCCTTACATTTTATAATCTTCGTTAATTTTCAATAATAATTAAAAATCATATAAATAATCAACGGAATTCATATATAAAAATGCCAGTGTATATGTTTTGTGAACACTAATGACGTAGTTTATTTCCAATTTAAACGGTAAAACTATGTTTGAAGAAAATTCGGACAGTGGAAATGAATCTTGTCCGAAAGGAATAAGGTTTGACTTGAATCCAGTTAAATAAGGCATCAAAGTTCATTTGTTTGCGTCTTTGTCCTTTGAAAATGAAAGATCTTTCTATTTTCTTCTTATTAGAACTTTCATAGGAAGGGAAGAGTTTCTTTCATTCTCGATGTTTTCTTTTGCTGTCCTTTTCGTAAACAAAGGTTTAGACGGCACGAATGTATATACACATATGATGCAGTTAGTGGGGTTAAAAAACCCAATTCTTTAAAAGTCCGGCAACACTATCAAATTTGCTTGAGTATTCGGCAATAAGGAGGGAAATAAGAATCTAAAACATATTTTTTATTTATTATAAATTATTTATTATAAATAAAGTTCATGAAACTTAAGAAGAACATTTTTTTATCATTTTGTATATATAAGAAAAAAAGTTATTGAATTTTTATAACAAAAATAAACAAGTTTATATTTAAAGAGCAGATGAAGCTTGCTTGTATTTTTCTAAATGTCCTAAATGATTTTGAAAACACTTTGCTAAAGTAACGGTACTTTGCATTAATTTTGTTTATATTTTTTTCTTTATTAAACTTTTCCACTAAGTAGATCGAACCTTAAAGCTTTTCGTGCCTTTGCCGGCTGGCTGCAACCTGTAGATTCATTCATTGCTAGTGTTAAAGTGTGAATAATTGCTGTTAAATCAATAAAAATTACTGCATCAAGTGTTGGAAACAATTGTCATGCAAATTTTTCACACAACACGCAACGAATGTTTTCTTAAACAGTGTAAGTTCCTTTACTGACAACAATTGTTGAGATGTAATGGAGGATTTTTTAGAAAGTTTATCGCCATACCTTAAACAATTAGCAGAAAAAGGTAACAATGCCTTTAAAAATGTTTGAGAAATTTACTAAACTCCTTTCCCTTTTTTTTAGCTTGTATTAACGATGCCCATCAAGCTATATTGACTCCTCAGGCTCATATGTTGTTAAAAGATATCACTGAAGAAGACATGCATGCTTTGAAAGCAGCTGCTGCCAAATTATTAGCTAAACCAACTATAACAGGTTTAGAAAATGCATATAAAGACTTTTTAAAGTGGTGGCTAAGTTTTTCTGTACGTTGCAGCCTCTGAACTATCAAATTTACCCTACTCTAAGCGATATTCACGAGTTAGTTTTGCCTGCACAGCTTTAAATAAATGTACACGAGGGGGTATTCTAACGCGTGGTATAACAGAATTCTGTGGTTCTGCATCAGCTGGGAAAACTCAACTTTTGTTACACCTTTGTTTGACAGTACAATTAAATGACGAATTGGGGGGTTTAAGTGGTGGCGTAGCGTTCATATGCACCGAAAATCGTTTTCCCTCGAAGCGCTTATTTGAAATGTCCAAATATTTCATAAGAAAATTTCCCGCTTATGAAATCAATTACATGGCCAATGTTCATGTTGAACAACTTCATGAAACTGTAAGTTGCTGTTCTGGCGAAAATCTTGCGATATTGTAATCATCATGTCAATAATGATAATAGGACGCACTTTTAAAATGTGTTGGCGAACGTCTACCGGCATTAATGTCTTCAACATGTATTAAATTAATTATAATTGACTCGGTGGCAGCTGTTTTTCGCACGTATACGGATTATGCGGAGAGATCAAGAGATATGCGTAGATTAGCTAACCATTTATTGAATTTGGCTTATAAATACAACAGTGCGGTGATTTGTGTTAATCAGGTAGGTTAGCTATAATTTTCTGTCTAATATTTTATATTTTTATTTTTATCATTTATACGGTAGCGTAAGGAAATCACAATTTTCACACGTTTTTACTACCAATTTATAATTCTGACCCATTATCGTACCTTCTCGCGAAGCATTTTTTTCCATCCAACAAAAAAAAAGTTTGAGAAACCTACGTATATTTTCGATTAATGGCAAATAAGTTAACTATAACAGCCAGCTGTTTATTCTCACGGATCAGTTAAGTTATCTCCATCACTATTGGAATTCCTCAAGATGTAACATTTGGCAGAGAGAAAGTAACCGGCATAAGATCGTAAGTTGTTTAAGAGGTATCCACATTTGGTGTGTTTTCGTTCTCGAAAAACTAAATGGAAATTTTGATATTTTCCATATTTATTTCTAGACGAAATTCACATTTATAGTTTGGAAAACGGTGTGTGTATTGGAAGTATGTGCAAAATTTGCTAAAATTATTTTCAAGATTACTGAAACACAGTTTTATCAAAATCTTTTATGAGCATTATAAAGATTCATAAAGTGCTGCACTCCTGTAGTCTTCCCAAGTTCCAAAGTTATAGCAAACCACAAGCTTATGAATGGTACAGTGGTATAGTGTTTTTAAAGACACTGCTAGAAATGGCCGACAATTTATTCCGCATTTACCCTTCCATGTCGTTTAGAGGACATCAAAAGGATTAATGCAACAGCGTTCACAACTCGTCACCTAACGGCAAAGATAAGCCGTTTTCACCGAAAATGGCCGTTTATTTGCAGTAGTTATCAGCATTAATTGCATTTAACATATGATTCCAAAGAATACTTTTCCTCTTCGAAATTGCAAAACTTTTCGTTTACTTGAAATGCATTACTTGGTTGGTCGGAACAAATTGCTTATCGAATTTTTATATGGTTTTCAAAAGGATTTATGCTGTTTTTAGATAAATATTAATAAGTGCATAAAATGGATTGGCTTTACATTTTCGTCACGGATTGTAGGCAAATCTCGCCCATTTAGAAACTTTAATTTATTGAATGTTTTTTAATAACAATAATAATAGTAATAAAAAACAAGTAAGAAAGTTAAATTCGGCAGGGCCGAATAAAAAAGTACCCCGATCTTACAGTGATAAGTATAATAACTCAGTGTACTTTCTTTGCAGTCAAAAACTCGACCACATTAAAAGAGTAAACAATCTATGCGTCAAATAACACTTCTTAAGACTTTTTCCATGGTTTTCTAGGTGTTGGAATTGATCAACGGTTTGTATATTCGCGAAATAAATCGAGCTATTTATGAAAGGTGATGCCAATTAAAAATAATTCGTCAACTAGGTAGACTTGAAACCTTAGCTTAGATGTTTAATTTGGCGGAAATGACCTGAATTCTCATAACTGTTCCAAGATAATAGTACCTTGTCAATTCCTGGATACTTTAAATATAGATATTAAATAAAAATAGGCTTAAGTATATATCCAAAACACATAAGTAAATGTATTACTCACAAATGCTAAATCAATCAACACACAAAGGAATTTAAGATAGGTCCTGAATTGATTTAATCTTGTCCGTCCGCCTCTCGGTTTTTTTTATTTTTTTGTAGAGGTCGCACATTTTCGACGTGTTTTGGTGAAAGTTTGTACATCGGCATGTCTTCGACCAATTGAATATTGTTCGGGTTGGACCTCTTTTGCCGTCAATCTCCAAATAAAATTTTATTTTGAGAACTCACTATAGAAGAAAAACTTTATTAGACAAAGTGGTGTAAGGTATTTAATGATGGGTCGTGTCCCATCATGACGTTTTCATTTGCCTTTAATTTAATTGACGATTCAATTGCTCAAGTGCATCTGTCGGTTTCTTATTCCTTGGTTTCATGTAAAAATTCCCATTTATTTTCTTTTTTTTAAATCTTCTAAAATATCTTCTCTCTCAGGTGGCCACTGTTAACGAACAACATCCAGATGTACCTTGCTTAGGATTATCATGGGCTCACCTTGGACGAACACGTATACGAATATCTAAAATACCTAAACAGATTAAGCTACAAGGAAGCCTTTTAACGGTACGTAAACTAGAGGTAATGTATTCACCGGATACACCCAATGATTTCGCTGAATTTCTTATCACCAAAGATGGTGTTGTTGATGTGCCTCCTCCTTTAAAATGAATTTTCTCATTTTCTTTTACTTATTTTCGAAATTTTTTTTTTTTTAATTTGATGAAAGTATTTGTAGCATATATGTCTATATATATATTATGATTTTATTTTGCTATATCTTACAAATAATAGAGAAATTCAAAACGGACGTTACAACGTTAATAGTTTATCAACAGAAAGTGAAAGTTAATTAATTAAGAAAATTAAGTAAGAAAATTAAATTCGGTCAGGACCGAATCTTTTATACCCATCACCGCTTAAACCCCCCCCAAAAAAAACGAAAGAAGTGAAAGTTTCTCAGCTGATTTCTTCTATTTTCAAAATAAAAGTTTTTATCATAGAGGCATGTGGGCGTTGTGGGCGTGTCCTTTGAAAAGTTTAGGTCAAATTTGTAGACGATATCTTCGTTTTCGCCAACGGGAGAATGTTTGCCATAAATACTACAAAGTTGCGCAAGCAGACGGATAGACATAGGAAACGGGCGGATATGTTCAGGTGCATGTAAGATTTGAAACTGGCCAAGAATTTGTATACTTTAAGGAGTTTTTGAAGCTTGTTTCCGTTCGTTATTAAAAAAATAATTATACTTTGATACATTGTAATATGAGATATCCATGATCAATTTATTGCATTTTTGTGCACAAATGCCACAGCATCGACCATAGAATATATATTCAAATATTTGTACATTTATTTGCTATAATTTATGAGTCATGAGCAAAAAACAAATTTTTCATTCCCTTTGAAAAACAGAGGTGTTTTCAATTTACGCGATGCTGTGGGCGTGTCCTTCCATCGATTTGGCACATTTCCAACACCAACCTGCAAGCAAGCAGTTTCACTATTTCTACAAAATTTAAAGTTGGTATAATCATTGAAAGACGGACAGATGGACGTACTTAAATCGATTTAGGATTTGTGTTGGGGTCTCCGAAGCTTTCTTCTGGTCGTTGCAATCGCAACGCATCGCACCCTCCTTCGGTGATGGGTATAAAAAAAGAAAAATGATAAATTTAAGAAATATCGTCAAATAATTGAAATGTGTTCACCTAAACCATCTTGGAGATTCGTTAATGTTTAACTCATTCACTTATGATTACTTAATTGTATAGTTTACATAATTGTTAATTTGTTGTTATATATAGATACGAAAATATAATATTTTCAGCCTTAGGGAAATGAATAGAAAAATTACGAGAAACAAAGAAATTAAGAAGGAATGTACAGAAGAGTAAATGTATTTTTAATCCTTAATTCATTTCACTTTGGTCCTGGGATGAAAAGTTTTTGATATGTTCTTTATTAATAGGGGGATAATTGATGTTCTCTCTATCGTGATGTACATTTATTTGATAATGCATTCGAACGAAGATTAACGAGTTAACTATGTATGGCGAATATATATATGTCATGATCCGTCCGCCTGCTCGTCCGTCCTTGTCGCGTTTCCTCATAATATTTTTATTATTATGAATGTTTATTTGCCATAATAATGCATTTTGTCAAGACGTTCCTAACCTAACCTCATTTTACACATATATTCTCTGTTTGACGAATACACGAACACATCAGGTCGATGCCGTTAAGTGGTTAAAGAAATCACTATCGGATTAATTAGAATTGGGGAATCACATAAATAAGTTTATAAACATTTAATTAGATCTGCCCGTTTTCTTTGTTTTTGTTTTTACCAATGACTGTTTTCCGTTGATTGATTTAAGCATTGACATGAAAAATGTAGGAATGGATCTATATATTGCGAAATGCTTTCAGCATTAGTTGCAAATTCTTTTCTGCTGTTCATAAGATCATCCTTATTCTCGCCTTAGGGCTACCCTGCCTTAGGAAGACATGCATTTGCTACTTTTGAAGCAATACTTTTTGAATGACGGATCAAAGGGAAACTTATGCGTATAAATCTTCGAAGAAGAGTGCATTAGATCTATAAGCTTTTGTAACGGTATTGCAATCTGAAGTATCGCACTTTCGGTTTTCTTTGGGCTTCCTTGCCTCTCTAACATGATTTGGCTTGATGATGAGAAAACAAATGTTTTTCTTTTTTTATTTTGAATGTTTATATATTTTTACATACATTTATTTATTTATTTTTTTCATATTTCATAATTACAATAATTGAGCTCATGTTTCTTAATTTCAAGTTATAGTACACATGAAATATTTAAAATATTTGTTTTACATCTTTATTTGTTTTTTCTCTTTTCAAATTTTCTCAATACATTTTCACTTTTTTTTAAATAATTTTTCATTAATTGTTTTAGCTGTTGGCTGCGTTTCATTTCAAATTACTTTTTGGCACAAATAAATTTTGACTGGAAGATCTTTCTTAAAATTGAATTTTTATGTTTAAGTAAATTTTAAATTTCATGCATTTCTGCGTCCTCATCCAATTCATTGGCATTAGTAACACCACCGTCATCATCGTCAACAACATCATCATCATCATCGTCATTGTTATCATCATCGTCATCATCGTTATCATTATCATCTTCATCATTAGCATCATCGATATTATCAACATTAGCCTTATCATTAGCAGTAGCAGTTGCCGCCGATGTTGGATTGATCTTAGAAGCATTTACAGATTTTATTGCGCTTGCACTACTGCCATCTAAATCAGAAAGTCTGGAACAATCTTCTACCTCATGCATAAAATGATGATGATGATGATGATGATGATGACGATTTTTAACTTTTTCAACTTCATCGATTTGCATTTTATTCGAATCACCGTTAGTTAAATTGGTTTGCCTTTCTTTTTCCTTCTTTGGCTCGACTTTAACGCTGACTTCTTTAACTTGAGCATTACCGTTATTTTTATCTTCATTATTATTATTATTTGTATCGTTATTATTGTTGTTTTTAGTTTTGCTATTTATTGTTAATTCATTGCCTTTTAGCAAACTATTCAATTCTTTGTCATCCTTTAAGTTTTTATCTTTTTGAGTTTTTTTTAGAGTGTTATTGTTGCTATTGCCGCTGTTATTGCTGTTGTTTGCATTCGCATTTCTATTGTGGTTTTTACCAAGCTGTTGCTGGGTGTGTGCATTTATTTTGGTTAAAGCCAATGCATTGGAAATTTTCGACGCTGCCAATTTTGTTTCGAAATCCATTTCTCCGTATAGAGGACTTTGACTATGGGCTGCCCTAAGCAAACTTAATTGCAATTCGCGATGCTGCGGTGACTCTTCGAGTTTGATTTCTAATTTTTCAGTCTGTTCCAGGGGTGCTGCGGGCTCTACCGTTAATGGAATTGCATGATGATGATGCGGTATGTGAGGATGATGGTGTTGATGCTGATGATGCTGACTATAGTGTGTACGTGGTTGCTGTTGCTGAGCCTGCTGCTCACGATGATTATGATTATTGTTATTATTATTATTATTATGATGATGATGGTTGTGCTGGTGCTGGTGTTGGTGGTTGTTGTGATGATGCTGATGATTGTTATTTTGCGTTTGATGTATCTGTTGCTGTTGTTGTTTATTTCTGTTGTCCATTTCTATGCCATTTGTTGCTTTGCCCATAGCACTAAGAGTATCATGTGCTCCTACCGTTGCCGATGTTGCAACCCGTACACTTTGTCCTACCGTTGCGTCACCTTTTATACCGTTGGCGTTTTTGTTGGTTTTCTCTAGACCGGCATTCAATGATTTTTTCATCTTTGTCCCCTGTTTCGCGGTTAGTTTTGAGCTTAATTCATTTGTCATGTTGCGTTTATTTTCTGCATTATTCGCATTGTTGCTATTATTATGTGAATGCTTTTTACTTGTCACCATTGTTTCACCATTTAAGGTTGTAGGAGTTAACGACGGTGCCGATGATGTTTGTTGCCCTGTGATTGATTTCGCAGTACTTGTACCATTTTCGCTTAAGGCTGATGACGATGTTGACGAAGTGGTTGTTGACTTGCCAGAATTTGCAGATTTCACTTCGGCCGCCTCAGTATTGGTAACATTATCTTGTTTTTTCCATTTGGTGCGACGGTTCTGAAACCAAATTTTCACCTGCAATTGAGAATGAAAGCAAATAACATTTTAATGCACTTTGTATAAATATCAGAGTTTTACATTCAATCATTATTAAAAGAGCAAGTAGGCAAAAAGGCAATTAATTCTTTTAAGCAATAATTGACAGGCACGTCGACTTTCTCATTTTTTGATTTCTACTCTTAAGATTCTGTGCCTTTTAAATATTGTAGAAGATAAAGGTTTCGAAACTAAGTAACACATAATTTGGACATATGATTAAGGATGAAGAGTATATATGACGTTGCAAAACAGGTACGCGCGGAAAAACCTGTCAAAACCGCTTTACCTAAGTGGAGCAGATTTCTATCAAATTTGTTAAGTAATCGTTAGCAGTTTTGCGTACTGAATTAAGTTTTATTTGCTTGCAAATACAGAAATCTATTTAAAACTTATAAAATATTGAAAGTAATATTTTTCGCCGAGGTAGGATCAGACTATTTTGATAACAAAGGAAACATATGCAATTTTATTTATATTTTCATGTAAATCTTACTTGTTGATAGTCAAGCATAAACATGCATTCATTAGAAGATGCTGATTAATAAGTAATCTATACATAATATCTATAAGTCAAGGCGACACAAAAAATATTCGATAATATTCTATCACAAAATTTAAAAAGAAAGCTCTTTTCTTTCTATGTTGATCTCGCTATCCTCAGTTCTTCTTCTTTGATAACCTTCGCTTAATACTATGGAGAGGTGACCAACCGTACTACTACTTTTGAATAGCAGTGCTCTTATTTCTAAGGCCCTTTCTGTCCGAAATTCTTGCAAAGTACTCTGGTCACCTTAAGACTTCATTGAGAATTAAACCTTTTGCTCTTTGAACAGTAATAAAATTATCCAAATTCACAAGTGCTAGAAGTGCCATTAATCAATAAATCGGGAAAGACGCGTTTAATTTCTGTTGGGCGTTTAAAGACAATTTTCTTTATATAATCTGATAGAATATTACCAATTAAAGGAATATGTAAAATTAAAGAAAATAAAAAAATTGGAAAAATATAAGACGAGTCTATCTCTTGCTATCAAAAGATTAAAATCGAACAATTTTGGAAATAAATTGATATAAAAATTCAAAATAAAAAGTTGTAAAAATGGTATGTAAAAGGCAAGACTTACTATCGTATAAGAACATGTGCACATGCACAAGTTTATATGCATATAAGGTAGAGCGCTTGAACAATAATTACTTCAACGTCTTATAAGTTTTTAAAAAACAATTCATAATGAAAGGAAGTAGAGCGCATTAGATAAAGCTCTTAAATTTTTCGCAATTGATGATAATGTCATGTGTGGCCACTTTCTTCGGACGTTTTAACATATTAATTGCCTTTCAAGCAAGTAAAAATAATTAATTAGTCGGGTAGTTTTTCTTGTGCATTAGGAATAAGGAAATAATTATAGGAAATAGTGCGAATAAGAAAAAAGTATTAAATTTTGCTTCGGGTAAGTTTTATATTCGTAAAGAAATGTCAAGAAATATTCTTTTCGGCTCTTTGAAATTATCACTTGCATTTTAAGTAAAAAAAAAAAAAATGTCCAGCTCTTAGTAGACAAACGGCTAGTGTTTTTCCTTTGACGTTAAAGGTAATCGTTTATGATAATTCATGGAAGTATAAGAAATTATTCATAGGACCAAATGGATGAAAAAATAATGAGAAGCTCTCTCTTGTGAATTCCCTTAAGCATAAATGTAGAAGCGTTTTCGCAAAAAGTTTGTAGTAATTTTCCTAAAACGTAAGAATACTTTTAACGAAAAAAAATGTAAAAACGTATAATGCAAAACTCTCATGTGTTCGCTCGGGTTTGTATAGAGGTTCGTGTAGAAGCCTTTCCGGGTGCTTGAAGATAAGAAGAATGTTCAAGTTATTTTACTTCGTTTGGATGCATTCGTGTGTTTTTCGTGCATGGTAACGAAATTCGCTCTCGACAGAAACTAGAAAAATCGGAAGTTAATCTTACGGCAATTAATGTTATAAAGAGAGCATATTTGGGTAAACATACATACGAACAAATGTAAAAGCATTCATCGTGTATAAAGTTGACTTGTAAAATGTACGATAGTCAAGCAATTGAGTGGTCGTATTTATTTTTTGAAAAGGTGAAAAAGTGGAAGGAAAAATAAATAAGTGAATAGAAAGTGGTGAAATTTAGCCGTCAATTTAATTTAGGTTAGATGAGTTATTGTTGTTTTTTTAAAGGTATACGTTTGTTGTTCCGCTTGCAATATTAGAAATGATGAAAAAATTGCTTGGAATTCTTCGCCTATTAGTTTAACGTCTATTGATAGATGTTTTAAAGAGTAGCCATATGTTTCAGACCAATATTGCAGATCAAGTACAACTAAGCATAATTAATTTAGAATGTAAGACGTAGGAACAAATGAAAGAGAAAAGTTTTGAATATGAATTTCGTAAATGCTTAAAATGAAAAATAAGCAATAAATGAAAAGGAAAAGTTTTGATAATATTTAAGACATTTTCAATCATAATTTATGATTTTTCCTCAATCATATAAAAGCCAGCAGTTTTTTACCAAAAAGAGGATAAATTTTCATGCAACCTAGAAGCAAAATAATCGTCCGTTTCAATCGTAAAGGTTTCTTTTTAATCAGTTGCATTAAAGAAGTTACTACATATTGCCAATAAAAAATTAAACTAAGTGTTTTTAAATATTATAAAATGAAACCGTTATCGTAATAAATATAAAAGACAAAAAAATTATAAAATGAAAATAACGAGTATATAAACAGTCCCTATACAATTAACCTGAATAAAGTACACCGTTCACTATTGTTGCGAGTTGAAGAAGTAACTTGAAGGGATTATTAAGGTAATCAACAATGAAAATATCTTTTATTTTTATGAAATTTAGTCCTTTTCTTTAATAATAAGTTCTTTTTGTTATTTACATAATTAAATACCAGTTAGGAAATATGTAACCGATAATAATGATAAATCATAGTAAAGGTCGAAAACCATTTATTTATGATTGTCAGTCTTTCGTCTTGAACGTTTGAAAATGACAATATCGTTTATTTATTTACATTAATTGGTTATCATCCAAGGTTCTTTCTAACTAAAGCAGTGTTTTTTCGCTTGACATAGGTGCAAGAGTTTCCTTCTTACTTAATTAAAGCTATGCAAAGAGCATAGTTCTAATAAATAAGAAAAAGAATATATATTTTTTTTTTAATAATAACAACAACAAGTGCTGCAAAGATTAGAGTTGCAGTGTTTTGTAAAGTCGTTACAATTTTATTATTATTTTTTTACCGTATATAGCTACTCTGCGCCAACCGGCTCGTTGGTCTAGGGGTATGATTTCCGCTTAGGGTGCGGGAGGTCCCGGGTTCAAATCCCGGACGAGCCCCTAAGTTATTAATACAGATTTGTTTTTTTTTCTTGTATTTATTATGTATACATTTTTTTAATTTTGTTTTTTTTCTATATAAATATGTATAAATTGCTAGAGAGAAGCAAAAGTACATTCTCCTATAGTTTGTTTACTTAGGTTAAATAAGCAAATAATGAGTGCAATGAAAAACGTCCTTTATGAGTATTTTAAACGCACATTTTTAATGCTGACGTAGTTATTTGCGCAATTCATATACGTTCTCATTTTGGTAAAGAGACTGACTAGCAGATCAACCGACACTTGAACATTTGGGAAAAAATTCTTAAAATTAGAAAAAATGAGAAAAAAATGTGATGAAAAAATGCTAATTATGTGCGCGATTTAAATAAGCTTTTTTGTTTGTAGAAATAGTCTGCATAGTAAAGAGAGGCACCCAAACAAGCAAGCGAGCCAAGCAAATGAAAAAAAAAAAACCTTTCCAATTGGGTATACGCAAGCTGATAGTAATGATGGGTTAAAGGTTTGACCTACACTCGGTCGAACTTGCGTTCATTCTTAGTGTACTTAAGCGGTTGCGTAATCGGTAATTGGAAATGAAAGTTGGTTAAATCGGGTGATGCGTTCGTTGATTCCTCTTTTTTAAAGACTTTGATTATTAAATGCAATGTGAATTACTTATACGATACAGTCAAAATGCTTAAGAAATGCTTTGCTTTAAACTTTGACAAGAATTATTTTCCAAATAAAGAAAATGAAAAACTTATTTTCTGCTTCACTGCAGTTGCTTTATTTTCAAATATTACATTTTCGGACCGATCTTCTCTAAGAGTATGTTTATCTACGATGTAAAGACGACATTGCAAGCTTTCTTAAGAGGGCAAAGATTCTGAGCTAATGTATTTATATTCTATTATTTAATTTTGTTTTTTGCAAGAAGAAGAAGAAAATATTAGAAGTTTTCTCGTCACATGTTTGTGCGGAATTTAAAGAGATTTTAAAAATCTTGGGCCTCGATGGCTGGTTTTCCCCGGAATTCCTAGTTAAATAAAAATTCTGAAGCCATAAAGTCATAGCTATGTATCGACGGATTTTTTAAAAATAATTTTTGGCAAAATGAAATTAGACATAGGATTGGTGATTACATTCCCCACGTTCGCTGTTTTCTACTTTACCACGAATTTATTCGGTGTTTTAGTTTTGAATTGTCCTTCTTTTTGCATGATCTTCTCAAGAACTTCCTAAAAGAGCAGAAGAGAAACGAAATTAGGAGCACTATTGTTCAGATCGAAGTTTTTGGTCCCTTTCCTTATTGTTAAAAACTGATGTTAGCTCATTTCAACGACTCTTTATTTTTTTTTTTGGCTATTCCATAAGGGGCTAAATGTGACACATATGCAAACACACATAGTTCAAAGCAAAGGGTCCATTTTGAGATAATGGGAAAGCGGTTCCGGATTGGGATTTTACCTCGGTGTAGGGCCAGTAGTTGGCAGTGCTTTGCCACTTCGCCCCAAAAAAAAGAAAGAAAAAGCACACACACATATATATGGGCTTAATTAAAATTATTCAAAAGCTGTATAAATGTGTACAGAAGTGTTTCTATATAATAAGCAT